AACTGTCAGCTTCTCGTAAGAGTACCTTAGAGTTAATTCCCGAAAGTACAAGAAGCCTCTCGGTCACATGACATGAGTGAAGATGGCTGTCTTGTGGGATGTTGTGCCGTGTAGTCTGATTGACGCGTCCAGGCGTTTTATCGACAGCCCGATGATGGAGGCCCAGAAGGCAGCCATCTTTATACTCTCGCCGTGAGAACCTGAGATCTCGCCGTGTAAACAGTGTTGTTAAACCTGTGTTCTTATTGGCTGGCACACGGGAACGCGCGGCTAAGTTGCCCACTTTAAGTGCATGAAGACAAATTCTGGTGAAGTCGAACAGGGGCTTCTGGGCTGGCTAACGGTAAAGATGGCGGTGCTGATTGTGGAGGGCGAAGCTGCGAGGTGTGTGTTTGCGCGAGGAATGAAGCTGATCAAATATTTGGTGACACCAGTATTGATTTCTGGGCAACTAAATCCTTCGCTGTGAACACAGTCTATTATGACCAATCTGTAAGCGAGAGAATGGTCTTCACAAACACGGAGCCATCTTGTGACTTCACGTGTGTGATTTACAGCCACGAGTAAAACGCAGTTTGATTTATATCGTAGCTGTGTGCGTTTTGGCAACACTGTATATCACCTGCCGTAATTACGAATATTTCAAACTTCTTTTGCGACTCTAAGATTGTAATCTCGACAGGATGAAGAAATTTTCCTAAAAAAAGACACGCGGCTCCCAGCTACTGTAGATCATAAGTCTAGGCAGGGCAGCGTTTTCCTAGTATTACGGAGAACTTCTGGCCACCGACCGCAACTTACACAAGAGTCTGAAATACTGAGAGTTCACAGACGCCCCTTCGTCTTCGGCTTCATTTATTTCAGATATTAATCTGTTGTCATAGAAACAAAGCGATGTGAGAACGGACTGGTGTTCCTGTCAACTGTTCCTTATCTTGGCCTCTCATCGCACTGTCCAGTTAGGAAATATGAAGCAGGTCGCTTTGTTGTGTGTATTTAATGACGCATAATCAGTTGAATATCTTGTCGTCGAATCAGAGAGAGGCGATTGTGGTGTAAGAATATGTCGAACCGGATACCTCCTGAGTACAAGTCAGAAGAGACGCCGAATGATGAGCTAACCTGCGTGCATTGTTTTTACTTCCCAGTGGCGGGCGGTAATGAGACTTCCGAGTCTGTGAAAGTGGGAGCATGTTGACCAGCTGAGTTACTGTCAGCTTCTCAACAAGGTGTGTGTTCCATGGATGAAGCTGTGTGCCTGTGGGATGCGCCGTCGGTCTCTCTTTAAAATATCATCTTTGGTGCTGTTCGATGACATTTCGTCCCTGAATGTCTTTGGCGATGATATTAGGCTTCTTTGTTTCGGACCGACAGATCGGGAATGGTTCGGTCTGCCGGATGCAGCGGACCAGATGTCATCTCCCTTCTTGCCTGAAGACGTAGGACGAAGCTCTTCCAAATGTAGTGAATTTAGTACGTTTAAAAAAAAGAAAACTGAACAGGCTGTGGATAAAGACCAAAATAAAGAAAGATTTGAGGTTTTCACAGCGGCGACTCTGAAGATTCCTGTCTTCTGGGTTGTTGCGCTGTGTAGATTACAGAAAGTAGTTCCTCAGTGTATATTTAATTACGCATAGCGACGAATGGAAGGCGGGGGGGGGATAATTTTTAATAATAGTCGGAGTCGTTAAAGGCAGTGGTTGTGGTCTATTTTGAAGTGTTATTCCAGAATTTATTTGAAGAGACAGAACCCACGAAAATACTCTGGTATAATAACAGACGTCCAGGACCCAGGACCTCCGAAATAAGTAGGAGAGCCAACCACTCGAATACGCCAACACATTCAGCTCTCATTGTGGTCGTCTGCCTTTATACCTCATACGCGGTGACGTATGAGTGTGTACGCTATTGTTTTTCATAAAACCGGTTTGAATTTTCAGTAGCAGCTTCTGATCTCCTTCCTCGTGTTTGAAACAATTGAACATCGATGGGCGGAGAAGCTGTTGAGTAATTAGGTGTTATCTGATGGCTCATATGCGGTAATTTTACTGTGCGAGCTGAAAACATTTGACTCGTGAAGACTGTGGGCGTGTCTCAGCCGAAAAGGCTTATCCTTTAATCCCATAAGATTTGGTACAGCCTTCTTCTGTGTGAGGAGGTTAGATAGAGAACTGACAAAAGTGTAAAATGGATTTATGGAGTCAGCGGTATCACAAGTACCGAGCTGTATCATTTGTTCTGAAGCAAATTCCACAGACGCCTTAGTTTTTTTATAGCGTGTTAAATCCTCCCTAGAGTCGTTAATCAACACTGAATTTGTAAATATCAAAGGGTAAAAATGTGCGCTTCTGTGGAACCATAAACCCCAGACGTACAAAATTTCGAGATGTTACTCTTGAACGCTTCTGGC